AGATTTTACATTTTGATTTATATATATATGTGCGTACCAGTGTGTGTATATATGTAGGTGTGTATATAGGTATATGTATGTGTATGTATGGATGTATATGTATGTGTATATATGTATATGTATATTTATGATTGCGTATATAGATGTATGTATATGTAGGTAGATGTGTATGTAAATGTGTTTATATGTGTGTGTGTATGTTTTGGTATGTATGTACTCATATATATCTGTATATGGGTGTATATATATGTATATATGTATGTATGTATAGTTAGACGGATAGATATAGGGATACATTGTTTATTTGTTTAGATGGGTGTATGTAATTGTATGGAGATGTAAAGTTTTATGTATATATGTTTATGTGCACGTATATGTATGTCCGTATGTATATATGTGTGTAAATGTGTATATATATGTAGGAGTGGATGTGCATGGACGTATGTGTATATGTATATATGTGTGTGTATTTATGTATGTATATGTATACATGTATGTGTGTGTATGTATGTGTATGCGTATGTATGTATATGTATATGAGAATATATATATATATGTATGTATATATATATATATATATATATATATATAAAAAAAGAAAGAACAGTAAGATATAAAATCCGGTGTTCTTATAGATATTTTATTTTTACAAAATAGTGCTCAATGTAAATTTACAGAGCATTAATATTATAAATTAATTGATAACCATATTTTAAATCAATTAATTTATAATATATATATATATATATATATATATGGATATATGTGTATGTGTGTACATGGGTATATATATGTGTGTCTATGTGGGTACACGCCTATATGTATGTATATACGTGTACATGTTATTGTGTATGTGTGTATACGCATGTGTTTTTGAACATAAAAATATAGGTCCTTGCTAGATTAGATAATCGTTAAATTTATTTTTTATATGTTTATATTTGATTTGTAACCTGGAGTCGATATTAAATTTGTCAAATTTATTTAATTGCACAGCGGCCCTTTTAGTAAATGCCCTTCAGTTTTAGTTTTCCCGCCCCATCTCTCTCCCCCACCCCTTTTTCTTTTCTTTTCCTCTCCCTCTCTCTTCTTCTGATCTTTAAGATTAGATCGTCTATTGTGTGTGTATGTCACCACAAAATGTATCCTTTCCGGTTACATCCTTAATGTATTAGACATCCGACAACATTCATATTTCCCCCTTCCACTCACCTCTCCTAAACTTCTCTCTCTTAAGGTTTAATCTCCCACCTTCTCTCGTCTGTTAACCCTCTCTTTAGCTCTAACATTCGTCCCACACTCTCATACTTACACTGTCTCTAAATTTTATTTTTATTTCCGGAGTTGTTTTTTCTGTTTTCTTTTTGAATTTGTAGGTCTGATGAATTGGATCGTATCTACGATTCCAATGGAATAAATTATGACCATGGAATATTAGTGTTTAAGCCTTTTTATTATATCCTTACTCTGTCCTGGACATTGAGTTCTACCTGGATTCTATCCTCTTGGAATTTTTTATTCAAAAAATATATATGTATGTGTATGCATCAATGTATATATATTTATATATTTTGCATATAGATGTGTATATTTACCACTAATATTATATATATATACATATATATATATATTTATATATATATACATATATATATATATTTATATATATATATATATATATATATATATATATATTCGCTTGAAAATGAAAATGAACTAATGCTTTTAATTTAATTATATAATTAAATTTAAAGTTTTTAGCTTCCATTTTTGAAACATGGTTATTACTGTGTAGCGAAAAAAAACATATTTTCAATCAGTTAATTTATGCTCTGTAAATTTACATTGAGCACTGTTTTGTAAAAAAAAAAAAAAAATATCAGTACGAACACCGGATTATATATCTTACTGTTCTTTCTTTTTATTTATATATATATATTCGATTCTCCCGTTGAATTCGACGCATGAGGGTCAAGCAGATCAGTACCCAGGAAACCGAGAGCCCGACAACAGCACATGAAATTTGATTATAGTGGTGAAGGTTTCGTGCAGGACCATCCACACTTTTTGAAGGGCCGAATTCAGAGACATGGTGCACTACGTGCCACAAAGGTCCCCAAACGATACCTGCGCAGGTTTTGAATTCAGAGTTGTCCTTCTCCTAGACCAGTTGCCATCCAAGGCTACAGGAGGCACGGTGGAGTAATAGATAGATGCTTGGATTGCGGTATTGGAGAGCCGAGTTCGAATTCCAGTCGAATCCAGTTACATTCAGTTGCGTCCTAATACTCTTGGGAAAGGTGTGAATCCTTTTCTTCTCCATCCAGCCAGTTATATATATTATAAATTGGCTTTTTGAAAATAATTGATTTTCTGTATTTCGATGAACTTTTGTTAAAAAAATAATGAAGAAGGTTTTAATTCAGCCTATTTTTTTAAAAAATGTCACCCCCCCTTCCAACATGAAATTTATAAAATCATATGCAAGTATAGTAGTACTATCATTTTCTGGAGCCTTTTAGAACTTGTTTATGTTTATTTGTTAGTTTGTATATTATGCTATAGTATAAAGCCTTAAATGCATTAAAAAAATACGTAAGTCCTATCTAATTACATCATCGAAAAATAAAGCTTTTGAAATGTTTTGATTTTTTTACCCATATTGTGTATATGGTAAAATCAGACTTTTGGTCTGGTGGCGAACTTTCTGGTACACACACACTGGCACACACACACACACACACACACACACACACACACACACACACACACACACACACACACACTGGCACACACACACACAGATTTTTCACTCTTATTGTGTATATGATAAATTTTTCAGTTTGTGTGATACATTTTCAAGAACTAAAACAAATTAATGCCATTTTCATTATTTATGAACAAAAGTTCATCGATTTATGACACAAAAACATAGGGTCACAAAAAAGTTAATATCCCTAATACATATACAGCACAAGAGAGTGCTTCAAAAGCACATGATGGTGCCCAGGAAACAGGCAAACACATTGTTGGTCTGTCACTTGTGTAACAAGTCATGCAAGTCCGCAGCCGGCCTTACAACTCACCTTCGGACTCATCCGCGAGAGAGAGATGCGAGGGGGGGGAACGAACGTGATTAGGTGACCATATGTGAAGATGTGGCAGATCATCATATATATATATATATATATATATATATATATATATATATATATATATACCATGGTTATGACTTTTTGTAAAATAGTTGATTTCCCGTGTTATAATTTGATGAACTTTTCTTAAAATAATGAAGAAAAGTTTAATTCAGTTTATATTTAAAAAATGTCACCCCTACCTTCCAACATGATATTTATAAAATCATATATATAAATATAGTAGTACTATGACTTTCTGGAACCTTCTAGAACTTGTTTTTGTTTATTTGTAATTTTGTATGTTATGTTATAGCTATAAACTGTTAAATTCATTAAAATACATAAGTCCTATCCAAATACGTCATTGGCAAATTGAAAAATAAAGCTTCTAAAATAGTTTGACTTTTCACCCTTATTGTGTATATCGTAAAATCGAATTTTCGGTTTGGGGGAGAATTTTCTGAGAGAGAGAGAGAGAGAGAGAGAGAGAGAGAGAGAGAGAGAGAGGATAATCTGGCATGATCCGCAGTTTGATCAACGCCAGCCTGCCCACGCACATGACCGCAATGACTTATGACCTCTTTCTATCACAAACCTCAATAGCTACCAAACAGTACCATCTACCCAATGTCATTTACAAGACCTGTGGTATGATTTTTGGAAACTTTCTAACAGTGCTGCCTTCTGGAATCCTCTGCCCAGATATTACATTAAGAATTCATCTTTCTGACAAATCGAGCTATTGTGAAATTCGAACCCGGCTTTCATGGTTGGTTGTACATACGAAGGTAAGTAAAAACTTATCTGCACTTCCGCCATAGCATATCTTTACGTTTGTAACACCGCCTTCTGCTCATGCTTGCTTATAGTTGGTACAATTATGGTCACGTGATCGAAGTTTGAGCTTAATCGCGCCAGTTTTCTTTCTGCTTTTACAGTGTAAACATGACCGCTTCGCTAGCAGTGTGCACCAAAGAGGAACGCAGAGTAGTTCCATTCGGACAGTTTCTTTCCAAGAACTGCTGCTTTGTGAAACAGACACCAGTTACAATGAATGGATGTTCCCTCAGGGAGGCTGCGTTCCTTGTTCGACTACTGGACCTCAAACTAAACCCAGACTTCAAGTAGAACTCGTATATACGATCCATCGCTAAAGGTGTAGAAGAGGAAAAATGGTCGGTTACCTGTAACGTTCCAGAAAGTACCTGACTCCTCGTGCTATATCCTCCACCTTTACAAGAGCCAGATCCGACCGGAAAAGAAAAACCGCTGTCATATTTGGATAGGAGCACCGCAGTCCTGACTTTCCAGTCCAAAAGCGTCTCTGCGTCCTGCGTCCTTGTGGGTGACAAATTATTTTCTAATCTGCACCCCTCTCTCTCTCTCTCTCTCTCTCTCTCTCTCTCTCTCTCTCTCTCTCTCAGACGAATCACCGCAAGTATCTCGCTACTCTATCACTATTTCTATGGAGAGTGTTCAGACGCACTACATTCCTTAGTTCCACCAGTTCAGACCTTCACAGCAAAGATGCACCATGACAGCGATAGATAGAAAGATAGATGGATAGATATGAATAAGCTGATATAGATAGGTAGATAGATAGATGGAAAATGTTCAGACGAACTACATTCTTTAGCTCCACCAGTTCTAACCTTGGCGGCTAAGATCCGCCATTCTATGCGCATTGTAGCCAACCACCGTCATTTCATTGGTGAGATGGAAACTTATCAGATCAGGCCAAAAATGGAACTCTGTTGCCACATATGGACAGAAGCTGCCAAGCCTTCTCTTTCCATTCTATTTATTTTATTTATTTTCCACCCTAAAACCCTTTTCTCACAGCCGAAATGTATCGCTATATCGCTATTTCCATGGAGATAGATAGATAGATAGATAGATATGAACAGAACGAGCTAGATAGATTTGAATAGTCTGCAATAGATAGATAGATAGATAGATATGAACAGAACGAGATAAATAGATTTGAATAGTCTGTGATAGATAGATAGATAGATAGATAGATAGATAGATAGATGAAAAGAATTCGGACAAACTACATTCCTTAGTTTCGCCAATTCTAACCTTGACGTCTAAGAGCCGCCATTCTACGCACATTGAAGCCAATCACCCTCATTTCATTGGTGAGATGTAAACTGATCAGATCAGGCCGAAAATGAAGTGCTGCTGCCATATATGAGCAGGAGCTGCCCAGTCTTCACTTTACATTCTCGATAGAGTCCTAAAGTGTCTTCACGTCCTTGTGGGTGACAAATCTTCCACCTTACAACTCCTTTCTCACGGACGAAACGTCGTAAGCCTCTCGCTTGTGTATCGCTATTTCAATGCCAAGTATTCAGACAAACTGCATTCCTTAGTTTCGCCACTTCTAACCTTCACGGCTTAGACCCACCATTTCACGAACATTGTAGCAAACCACCCTCATCCCCTTCGTATTCTATTGGTGAGACCTAAGTTCCACTCGAGTAGCTTCCTCTCACGAAGCACTGCTCTGTGGAACCGACTCTCAAGAAGATGTTTTCCGGATCAGTACGATCTTAACCAGTTGAAATCTAGGGTTAACCGTAATCTTTTCATGCATAAATTATATCTTTTACACTGTAACTCTCTACTACGAGTGGCTCTCGGGCCTTGTACACAGTGAACCTCTATGTAAGAAAAGGACTCCCAGCTGACTCTTCTTCACGTTTAGAGTTAAACATTTTCTTTCTTACATAATCTGAAGTTCTTACATCAATACAACAACATCATTCAGTAACGCTCTAGATTGAGTGGCTATTGGGTCTTGTATTGGGCAATAATATTAAAAGAAAAGAAGTAAAAGTTGCAAACGTCATTGATATTTAGTTAGGCAAGGAATTAATAAATAGATTACTGTGCTGATTGTTGTTGGTGGTGATATTGTTTGCTTGTTGGAGGCAAACTGTTAAAATGGCGATCGCTTGTGAAAATATGATTTATAGGTTCTGGGTTCGGTTCCCAGAGCGAGCGCGAGGCGGGCTTTGATCTTTGGTTTGAGGTCAGCTTCTCACGAAGAAGAACGGCTAGCAGGGGCTGGCGGCGGCGGCGACGGTGGCGAGGAAGGCTAGAGCCGAGAGCCACTGAAGTGGAAGTTAAGATGCGCGGTGGACGGTCAGGGTGGTGGCCGTGAGTGAGAACAGGGTGTGGGAAAGAGAAAGAGAGGCGCAAGAGGAGAAGAAAACAAAGAAGCGAAGAGGCAGAAAGGGTGCAAGGGTTTATGAAGGAGAAAGAGAAGGAGGGTGTATGAATGTGGGTGGATGAAGATCCCACCTGTAGAAAATAAACAAGAAAAATACCTTCTATATGCTTGAACAGTTTTTTCAGGCAATATTTTTAATTTTAACCCACGTCTATCTCTCCCACTCTCTTTCTGTTTCTCTCTCTGTCTGTCTGTCTTTCCTCCTTCCTTCTCTCTCTCTCTCTCTCTCTCTCTCTCTCTCTCTATATATATATATATATATATATATATATATATATATAAAATCATTTATTCGAAAATTATAAATTATAACATAAAAATGTTATAAAATCACTACAAAAATAGCCATTTTGTTTCAACACTTTTGCTGTTTTCTCAAGTGATGGTGTTGAATGTAGAATATAGGGTTTTAAAAGGATTATATTCGCTCTACTCTGTATTGGGCACTCTTTTAAGAATAGTATTTGTTGGTTATTGGAATTTATTCCGTATACACCAATCCTATACTTGGAAATACATATATATGTGGCCTGACGATTGCTTCTAGCATGAAACAGCCTGTCGCCTCTAATGTTCAGTTTTATATTTACACACGCTCTCTCTCTGATATTGAGCTCTTTATCCCATAAATATAGCACACTTTAAGAGTATATTTCTTCATATATATATATATATGTGTGTGTGTGTTTGTGTGCGTATAATGAAATGGATTGTCCGACAATTATTTAATATATTTTCTGTTTATACGTCCTTTTATAGATACAATGTATTTAAGCAAATGCTCTGCTTTTTAATTAAACAATATTAATTACATTTATCGGCCTGAATGTTCGAGAAATTTCTTACATTGAAATTGAAATATATTAAATTAATAATTAAATACATTGTATCTATAAAAATAACGTATAAAAAGTAATTGTCGGACTTAATCCATTTCATGCAGCTTTAAACAACAGAGCCACACCAACACGATATAAACCGCCATCTATTCGACTCCGATGCAAAAAGCTCATCTGAACTATTTTGGTCCCCTAGACGACACGTTCAAACAAGGTCATTTCTTACTCGTAGGTATTGTAGATCATGCAACAGTTTTTCTTTACGCCCGTCTACACAGTCATGGTGGCTGGAGTAGGCGAGGAATGTGGGAAAAGGTTGAATATGTTGCCTTTACGTCTCGGAACGGAATTGAAGCGACGAAACGAGAGAGGCCCGCTTGGCACGTGACTAAAAATATAATTTTGGGAAATCCTATGATGTTAATTCTTGAAATTGCTTTCGTTTGGCTATTCTGAAGACCCCCTTCGGCTATTTTGCCAATCTTCAGTTATATCACCCACTTTTTTTTTTTTACGGAAGGCTCAATCTCTGCTATTAGCGAAAATGGTCATTTTTACTTGACAAGTTGCACATTTGGGAATAAATTTGCCGAGAGGTCATTCGTAAATCCTTATACGAATTTCACATTTTTATTTATTTATTTTGTCCTTTAATCACCCTGTCGATCTTTTTTTATCTATTTTTTAAAAGTAATTTCAAACTAAATTGAGTGATTAATCTGTCTATATTTCTGAGATGAGGTATTATGTACACTATTTACATTATTCGGACTATTGTCCTCATCTATGTCGCCATATTTATCCGATCCTTCAGTATCTGTCTATATTTCTGAGATGAGGTATTATGTACATTATTTACATTATTCGGACTATTGTCCTCATCTTTGTCGCCATATTTATTACAAAGTTTCGGCCGTTGTACGCCCCGGTCTTCTTCAGTATCTATCTATATTTCTGAGATGAGGTATTATGTACATTATTTACATATTTATTACAACGTTTCGGCCGTTGTACGTTCCGACCTTTTTTCAGGTGGTTGAAATCTCGAACTGAACCCCAGTGAGCGAAATAAAGGTTTCAGTTCGACGTTCCAACCACATGAAGAAAGCCGGAGAGTACAACGGCCGAAACGTTGTAATAAATATGGCGACAAAGATGAGAACAGTAGTCCGAATAATGTAAATAATGATTGATTAATATATTTACCACCTTTTTTTAAAAAAAATCTTTTCATCCTAAGTGAGACAATAAATAAAGCCACTAAGACGCAAGGTGTTACTGAGTGTGAAAGAATATGAGACAAATATATTATTAAGGAGAGAGGAACATAAAAGAACAATAATTAAGAAGACAGAAGATAATTGTAAAATGATGAGACCTAGCCGCCAATCTAGTGCTGCGCTTAAATTCATAAAGTCTAGCTACGCTAGCGGAAAGTTCATTAGAACAATTACCTTGAAAATATTTATGAAAAAGGCACAAAGGAGCTACGTTACAACAGTGGAAATGTGGTTAAAGCCGAGATGCCAGGTTAGGACCAATAACATTGCAGATTCTTCTTTGGATTTTATCAAGAATCTCTAAATACATAGCAGGTGAACCAGACAATATCTGGGCAAGAACAAGAATTAAGAAGATAGAAAATAACATTTGGATTATTTACAGCTGAAACATATTTTGGGTTGTGGAGTATTTTTTTATATTATATTTTTTTGCAAGAGAATATTGCATTAACAGTCAATTTTAACGATAACAATGATTTTTTTTAGATACAAGTCCTACTATTTAAACCATAGTTTTTTTTGGGGGGGGGCGGAGAGCAAACATAGATTCATATCTTTGTCGAGGTTTGCGCGTTTCTGAATGTAACGAACTCGACTAGGATTCGAACTCTGTTCATTTCGAGCTGCTATCCGGCTAAGTGAAGAAACGAAACAACCCTTCTATTATTATTATTATTATTATTATTATTATTTTAAAGTATCACACAACTACTAAATACTTGTAAAATCCTACTATGGACGGCTAGCTACGTTTGTATTAATCTCAAAGAAACGCTTTTGAGCGCTGCAAGTGAGAAACTGAAACGAGAATAGGCGAGCAGATGACAACAGAAGAAGAAGATTTAATTTAGTGTGTGCCACCATATCGAAGCTGTCAATTGATAGGGCGGCAGGAGATCAAATGACGCTGAAGGTTTCAATAGCACAAGCAGGAAGCATAAAACAGGTGTGTTACATACAAAGACTAGCAGGGAAAGAAAAAAAAGAAACGACAAAATCTGACAAAAGAACGAGCAAATAAAGCTTAAACGTAATCAAACATAAATTTTAAAGGTCTCTAATCCCTCTGCGAATATATATATATATATATATATATATATATATATATATATATATATATATATATATATATATATATAAAAGCGAACATAAGTCAACACTTATAGGCGACAGTCTGTTTCATGCTATATGCAATCGTCAGGCCACGATTTATATTTACACACGCTCTATCTCTGATATTGGGCAATTTTATCCCATAAATATAGCACACCTTAAGACTATATTTCTTCATATATATATATATATATATATATATGTGTGTGTGTGTGTGTGTGTGTGTGTGTGTATGTATATATATATATATATATATATATATAGCTGTGTGTGTGTGTATATATATATCTCTGTGTATGCACACATATGTATACATATATATATATATATATATATATATATATTCATACACGTTTCATTAAATAATATAGACAAGTGTTGTCTATTTATTTTATGTAAATTCTTTTCGTAACGTCTGATAAGTTTAATAACATTATCGTTGAACGAAGAAAGAAATTCACAATATTGATCCATATTTTTTTAATACAATCTAAGCTTTCGGCTTACATAAGCCATTATCAAAAATGTCAATTACAACATATTAAGCAATATATCTAAAAATGTTAGAGTTTTCATTCAAATGTAGTGTCAATGAATGAAAACTCTAACATTTTTAGGCATTTAAAACAACATGCCTGCCCGCACACACAATTCCGTAAAATACTTGTCGAAAACACAATTATACTTCGACATGAAAACAATAGACAAAAACTAAAAATCCTTGAAGCATTATACATCAAACTGTTGAAATCCAATCTAAACAAAATCAATTAAGGCATCTCTACAAATATTCTTAAATGTCTATAATTGGTAACAGAAGCCATTGGTTTATACCAACGGCTTTCCATATTTCATACTTCTTCAATTCACTCTCGTGTGGTCATGTGTGACGTCATGAGATGCGGTGCGATTTTCGCTTCTAGCGTCTTATATGCGCGTGTTTATCGTTGCTTAGAGATCATCTATGTAAACAATGACAGACTATCATCACTGTCTTGTCCGTATATTATCAGACGTTACGAAAAAAATTTACATAAAATAAATAGACAACACTTGTGTGTATTATTTAATGAAACGTGTATGAATGAAAAGATGCTGCCTAAATACACACACAATATATATATATATATATATATATATATATATATATATATACAAGTACAGGATTGGTGTATACGGAATAAATTCCAATAACTAACAATAACTATTCTTAAAAGAGTGCTCAATACAGAGTTGAGCGAATATAATTATTAATTCGAAAATTATAACATAAATATGTTGTAAAATCACTACAAAAATAGCCATTTTGTTTCAACACTTCTGGTGTCTTATCAAGTGATGATGCTGAAAATAATTACTGAATAAATAATTATATATATATATATATATATATATATAATTTTCGAATAAATAAATATATATATATATATATATATATATATATATATATATATAGGGAGGAGATAGAGAGAGAGAGGTTAATACTTTTAACATTTTAGTTTTAGTGGATGCACGTGTTTGAGTATACATCCCTTTTTTATAATCGGTGAAAATCTATGTATACCGGCATGTGCATTCGAATGTCTTCCTGCAGGCTTTGAACCTGCATCCTCCTGGTAGGAGAATCTACCGTATATCCAGATTGTCATTGAATTATGTTAATTGTGTTTTTGACATATATATATATATATATATATATATATATATATATATATATATATATATATATATATATATATATATATATATATATATATAATATGGAAAGCGCTCTAGATACATACATACATACATACAGGAAACGATCCATATATTCAGATAAAAATAAAATCATCCTTGATAATGACTAAAAAATATAGCCCAATGTTATATATATATATATATATATATATATATATATATATATCTGTTGTTTAGTTATATATATATATATATATATATATATATATATATATAGCGCTTTTCAGTTATGAATTGAGCGCTCGTGGCTACTGATGTTTTATACATTACGTATATAATACTTTAAAAATGTCACTTTCTCTTCCGTGCGCCGATAGCTTATGGGTAGAATCTCTGACTGATGCCAAATCGGTCGAGTTTCGATCCAGGCATGAAACAATCTGATGTCTAGCCACACTAATGAGCTATGATACAGCGGAACAATAATGAACTGTGATACAGCGGTTTGTATATGGATAACTATTTATGCTCTCTTTCGCCGATTGAGCACTATAGAGAAAAAGTAATTTTAAAAGCAGTGGCTGCTCCTGCATCCCTCTTGGCTACTGGCGTGTATACATTACGTATATAATACTTTAAAAATTTCCCTTTCTCTGCCGTGTGCCGATAGCTTAGGGGTAGAACGTCTGACTGAAACGTGGTGCTTGGTTTTGGAGAACTAGCTTATTTAACTATAAAGTAATTTTTACAAATTAAATACTTTCAAAAGTTTAATACTTTATTGATTTTTTTAGGTACTCTTTTGCATCGACTGTTTCCGTCCCTAAAATTGAATCTAAAAAAGAAAATAATTTGTAATTGGGGTGCATTTCTCACTGAAAAACAATAAATTAATTATATTTAAAAAAAATGAAATTAAGATATTAGTGAAATAGGATGTAAAAAAGAAAATTAAAAATTTTGAAAATGCGACGTTGATGGTCTGTTTGAGAATTTGATACGTGCTAGTCAAAAGGAAAGCAAATTTCTTAAAGGCTTTCTCTTAAAACACGTTGCCTATTATTTCTGAATCTATAGTTTTGGAGGGAACGTTTTTAATACATTTTTTACATATCAAAAAATATCTGAACAATATTATCATATTGCAGTTTGTAATAAGCTTTCAAATTTATGATCTGTAAAAACATCTTTTTAATAACTGTATTTCCAAAAAAGACACGGATTCAAACTTAATTTTGAAATATTTAACGACTTTATCACATTTTGCATAAAAAATAATTTCTTGTAAAAATCATTTTTTATCGAAAAAATATTTTGGCTTCAGACAATAGTATCCTTAGTATATATTATTCATAAAAACCATTAAAAGTTTTTGTTTTAATTTAATAATGTCTTAGTTTTATTGGGTTTTGTATTTTACAATTCAGGGCTGAATTTATGGAAAAACCGGGTTTCGAGTTACAAAAAAAAAAAAATAAATAAATAAAAATAAATAAATAAAAAAATCGATGATTTATATTCTTCA